AGAAAAGGAGCACTTCTTGTTGCTGAATGTGGTAAATAGGTCCACCTTGGGAAGTCCCCACCTCTGGAGTGTCCTGTGAAGAAGTTGAGAGTCCAACTCCCTTTCGTAGCCCTTGGAAAACCACCTGCTGAGCATATCTGCTGTGACATTCTTGGCTCCAGTAAGGGAGAGGACTGAGATCTGAATCTGATGGGCTATATACCAGTTCCACAATTTTATAACTTTGGCGTACAGGGAGGGGATCTTGCCATTATCCGTCATGATCCTGATGCATTTGCCCTTGATGAGACATATGAATGGAAGACAGGCATTCCTGACAGCGCTGAGTTCCAACAGGAGACTGGCTTCCTGAGACAACCATCTGCTCCGAGTTACGGTGGGGAGCACATCTCAATACCCTCACAACAGTGATGTATCCATTGTCACAGTTATTGTCAGAGCTGGTGGATGAAAGGGACATCTGTGCAGACAATGAGTTGATTCTTCCACCAGTCCAGGGAGTTATTTACTTGGATGGGACTTGTCTGTCCAAGCTGTCTTTGGTTAAGGAATTGTTCCTCCTGAACCAGCCCTGAAAGCAGCGGGGGGGCATAATCTTGTGTAATCAGTCACAAAGATGCAAGCGGCCATGCAACCCAGGAGCTGCAAACAGTTCCTTACTTTAGTACAGGGGTTTCCTTGAATCATACTGAACAGATTCAACAGAATTAACAATTTGTCCTTGGGAAGAAAGGCTGCCAACGACTGTAAATATGTCTCTATGAATTGTATTCTCTGTACAGGGGCTATCTTGGACTGCTTCATGTTTAGCTGGAGACCCAACTCCTGGAAAAGAGTGAGCTGTCTCAGTGGAAGTTAGTACTAGTTTATAAGATTGGCATTTGAGGAGTCAGTCGTTGAGATACAGGAAGATTAAAATTGCTTCTTGTCGAAGGTAAACACCCACTACTGCTAGAACTTCTGAGAACACCTTTGGGACCAAAGAGAAGCCAAAGGGAAATAGACCTGTCCCATGGTGAAAACACAGGTATCTCTTGTGTGCAGGATGTATCACTATATGGAAATAGGCGTTCTTGTAGTCAAGGGTTGAAAACCAATCTCCTGGCTCTAGAGAGGGAATTATAGCTGCCAGAGTCACCATCCTGAACTTTGGAGGCTTTACAAATTTGTTCGGTTGTTTTTAGATCTGAGGTCAGACCCCCCACCTTCCATCCTTCTTTGGTACAAGATAATACTTTGAGTAAAACCCCTTTCCTGTGTGAGGGGATGGGATGTGTTCTGTTGCTCCTAAATGAAGGCAGGAGTGTGCCTCATGGCTCAGTATAGTCTCATGAGAGGGGTCCCTGAAGATGGACAGGGTGGGGGGATGTGAAGTGGATGGTGCTCACCCACTTGTTTTCTGGTAACATATCACCAGGCTTGTTTGAAATGGGAAGGTGGGCTCCAAAAGAGGAGAGGTGGGTAAAAGGTTGCATTGCTTGCAAACTGGAGTGGAGGGAGGTCAAACCTGTCAAAAATGCTGTTTTAATGACAACTGGGCACTCACTAAAGGAGAGTGAGAAGCTCGTTTCCTCTGGAACCCTTGTCTCTTTCTAGTAGGTTTGGTGGCTCTGTGAAAACTAGAGAACTGAGCTGGGTGTGATCTCTGGGCAGCTTGAGACCTGCTAAATCTCGTTTTGTAGGGGTGTATATATCCAGAGACCTGAATGTTGCCCTGGAGTCCTTCAGCATGTGCAGGGACTCCTCTGGAGCTCCCAAGAAGAGCTTTTGATTGTCAGAGGGGAGGTCCTCAACATATTCTGAACCTCCCTCAGAAACCCCAACAACTGGAGTCATGACACCCTGCACGTGACAAACACTGTGCAAATGAATCTAGCAGCAGCATCTAAAGCAGGGGTGGGCAAACTTTTTGGCCCAAGGGCCACACGGGGGTTGCAAAACTGTATGGAGGGTCGGGTAGGGAAGGCTGTACCTCCCCGAACAACCTGGCCCCTGCCATCTCCCACTTCCCACCCCTGACTGCCCCCCTCAGAATCCCTGACCCATCCAACCCCCCCCTCCCAGGACCCCACCCTCTAACCAACCCTACCAACTGCCCCAACCCCTGACAGGCCCCCTGGGACTCCCACACCTATACCACCCCCCCCCCCCCAACCTCTGCCCCATTGAACCACCCTTTGCTCCCTGTCCCCTGACTTCCCCCTGGGACCCCATACCCGTTATCCAACCCCCCCGCTCCCTGCCCCCTTACCATGCCACTCAGAGCGGCAGGACTGGAAGACACTGGGCCCAGCTGGAGCCTGCCGCGCGGTAAACAACACCTGCAGGGGAGGAGGGATGACGGTGGAGGGGCGGGGGCCTAGCCTCCCCAGCTGGGAGCTCAAGGGCTAGGCAGGACGGTCCTGCAGGCCGGATGTGGCCTGCAGGCCATAGTTTGCCCACCTCTGATCTAAAGACACTTGAAGAGAGGTTCTGGCTAATAACTGACCCTATTTAATGATGGCCTGGAAGTGTTCTCTGTGCTTCTGTGGAAGATGTTCAATAAAGAATGCAAACTTGTTGTAATTTGTGTAATCATACTTGGCCACAATTGGCTGTTTGCAGTCCAAAATTGGAAGGTTGCAGATGAGTATGCCTTTCATCCAAAAAGTCAAACCTTTCCTGGTTCTTACCATAAGGAGTAAACCTGGAGTAATACCACTTACCCCACTCTTTTACAGCATCCATTACAAGGGAATTGGGGTGAGGGGCAGCAGGAGAACAAATATCCTGAGTCCCTGGGATCAAAATAATATTTCTCATCTGCCTGTTTATACGTTGGCAGGATGGTGACGCCACAAGGTCACGTAGAGCAGTGCTACTCGAAGTGGTGGTCCGCAGACCGGTGCCGGTCCGCGACCTGTCGGCTGCCGGTCTGCTTGCACATTGGGGGAAAAAAAATTGCCAGTCCTCCACATCAGCTAGCTTGAGAAGCACGGGTGTAGAGCACAGGTGTAGTTGGACAGATGCTGCCAATGGAAAATCTCTGCCCAAGAGCTTGAGAGGCACGTATGCAGGTGCGGTGGAGCACACACAGGGCCACTATTAAAAGAAGAACAGAGTTTCCCCCTTGGCCAATAGAGGGGACCAGTTTACAGTGAAGCAAGGAAGTGTGTGACTGATTTAAGCACCTACGTTCATTGGCTCTTATTTAGAGCTCCATGAGGCTGTGTGAACTCTCCCTGCCACACAGCTAAAGGAGAGGCTATTGCAGGTCTTCTTTGACTCCTATGTACCAGAGTTTAAGCATGTTTGGGCCCAACCCTGCAAACACGTCTCTTCAGGGCATTCTCCTGGGAGTCAGGGCTAGCAAGTTCTGGGCCCATGGGAGTTTTGCAGGACACAGCCCTCAATTCTCTCTTGCAGTTGTTGCAGTGCCTTTTAGATACAGCCATTTTTCTTTCTTTCACTTGGAAAATGGTTGAGTTCAGAGACTGGACCTGGCATGCAGCCCTGTTCCCACCCATTCCCCAGCAGACGGACTCCCCTTATCGGAGTGCAGGTGAAAGCCGGCTCCCGCCTACCCCCTTGCTTTCTGTTCACATAGCATCAGAGGTGGGAGCTGTCAGGGCCAGGCCTGTAACTGACCCACACCTTCCCTGCAGGGCCAGAAGCCTGACACTGCAGTGCACAGTGTTGGGGTACAGGGCAGTGGCTGGGAAGCTGTTGCAGACACAGTGGATGGGACAGCGTGGAAGGAGCTGCAATGAGGCATGACTGAAGGAGGCAGAAGAGGGGGTGGATGTGCACTTTGGATGGTACAGAGAGGAGCAGATGAGGCAGCAGAGCCCAGCAGTAGGCAGAGGCTGAGCCAAAAGTGGCTGGAAGCAATGGGGCATCCAGGCAGGTAGGGAAGTCAGGTCAGGAAAATGATGTGGGTGCCCCTGTGGTGAGCGGGGCGGGGGGACAGGATGGGACTGGGGGAGGCCAGGGAAGGGGAAGTTGCAGGTGTTAAGGCAGGAGAGGACATGGGACAAAGCTGAGATAGTGCAGAGATGGCTGCAGGTTTGGCAATAGGCTGCATGTACAAGGAGGAGAAGGAAGCCTCACAGACAGATAAGGGCTTCAAGCCTCTTTAATGGGAAGGTTGGAGAGTGTCAAGCTGTTTGGGGCAAGCAATGGGCCCAAGTCTCCGGCTGGGCCCAACAGATTTGTGCCAGAGTTAACATGACTCTGGGCTGTCACTCCCTGTGTGCAGTGCGGCCCTACAGGGCCATGCAGCCCTACAGTGCCCTGTGCAGTGCAGTGTGGGCCTATGACATCCAGTATAGTGCAGTGCAGGCCTGCAGTGCCTTGTACAGCAGGGCAACCCTAGACCACCATGTGCGGTGCACTGAAGGCTTGTGGCATCCAGTGTAGTGCAGTGCAGGCCTACAGAGCTCTATGCAGAGCAGTTAGCTGTTAATAGTAAGCCAGAGGAAGGGAAACATCAGGGGAGATATTCACCTCAGCTTTAGAGTCGTGGAGCCTGAGGTGACCCCAAGGAGAAGACGGCAGCATCAGGCAGAGCCTGTCCAGGTCTCCGGTACTGGCTTTATGGCAGGGACACTCCCTGACCCAGCCCTTGTGCAGGGGGCAGAGATGTTCTCACAGTAACCATGTGGATTTGCAGCACCCACTTGCCTTCAGTGACTATCTCACGCTTCTGGGAGACTAAGGCCTAAAACAGTGAGGCTGGCAGTCTCATTGCCTATGTGCCCTGGGAGGCATGTCCTGGGCAGAGCTCCCCTGCATTGCCCTCCTCCAGGAAGCACGGAGAGCACTGTGTGACATAATCCCGTCCCTTGTTAGTGCAGTGTGCTGCCCTTTGACATCACCCCTTGTGCCCACAGGCCTTCATGCCAGCATGCAGCCTGATCTCCCTGGGGCCGGATCAGGAGCGCCAGAAGCTCACTAGAAGTGGAGTGGCCACTGGTGCCTGAACTGCGGCCCCACCCCCACTCCTTCCCCCAGGGCCCCACCCTCACTCCACCTCTTCCCCCGCAAGGCCCTGCCAGCCGCTTGCTCTTCTCCACCGCCCTTAAGACAGGAAAAAAGCGGCTATGCCCTCCCACTTTTAAAAGTGATGGGAGCCATGGCCTCTGGCCCCCCCGTTCCGGTGCCCCTGGGCTGGATTAGCCCCTGTAGGGGACAGGGGCTGCTATCCAGCCTGCCCTGGGGGCTTTCTGCTGCACCAGAACAAGGGGAGGCAGTGTCCAGCCTGCAGCAGGAGTTCATTGCTCTCATGACCCTCCCCACTAAACACTCTTTTTGTGGGGGCCAGGGGAAGAGCAGCAGCAGGGGCCAGTTCCCCTCTGGGTGTCGTGATGGTTCCTCTGAGATAGGGGCTACGGCTGAGGGCTCCACTCCATACAGCACTTGTCTGGCACTGGCAGCCGTCCCCACCTGCCATGGAGGGCAAGGCCACTGCAGCTGCAGTCCAAGCACAGGCTGACGGCAGGCCCCATGCGTAAAGCCGCCGGCCTGCAGGATGCAGGGGAGTCACAAGGAGGCTGTAGCCCTGCTCCAGCGCCCTTGCGGTGCGCAGGGGAGTCACAGGGAGGCCGCAGACCAGAGCCTTTCCTGCACGGCTCCAGCCTCAGTCTCCTCGGACTTGGCTGCAGCTCTAGAAGCACCTTTAACCTGGGAACACCTGCCGTGAGAGAACTGTAGAGCAGCCAAGCAGATCCACATGCAGCACGCAGCCACCCGCCTGCCGTCCTACCGGAGCCAGAGGAAGTCTGCACTGCATTCACCTCCTTTTTCCCAATGCAAAACATAAACGAGTCGTTCTCGTGAGGCAGGGCGGTGTCTGCTGCAGGCACAGAGCATGCCATGGCTGCAGAGTGGGCCTGCCGCCTCAGTACCTGCCCGAGTCCATGCGGATGTTTTTAATCTCCAGTTCTAGCTGTTTGATTTGGATGTCCCTCTGGCTAACCAGCTCTCGCAGTCTCCGGATTTCTTCCTGCTGGCGGTAAAACATCTGCAGCAGCTGTAAAGCAAACAGCATTCTGTTTATTTCTGTTGTGCCCCAGCTGGGTCTAGGCAAAATGCACATGAACGTCTCTGCTCGCCTGCAGCTCTACAGCACCAGAGCAAAAACCAGGGTGCCCAGACCCTCCCAAAGCAGCTAGGCACTGCTGCCACTACCTGACAGCTTAGACTAGGTACCTTGCCCTGGCCAGGTCCCAGCAAAGCTCTACGTCCGAAACACACAGGAAAGGAAAGAGACAGAAGAATATGCATTTCTTTTCATCCCAGCCCCACCCCCAGGCAAGGTGACTCCAATCCACCAATGGGCTGGTTGCTAAAACACTGCCCTGGCACTCAGGACACCTGGGTCCAATTCCAGGCTATGCCACTGACTCCCCGTGCGCTTGCATCGATTTAACTGTGAGTGTGATGGCTTCTGAAAGGCATCCACACACAACGTAAGCAACACGGTGTCTACACTGATGCTGCACTGACCTAACTACATTGACCGAAGGACTACAGCTCTTGCGGAGGTGGAGTATTAAATCAGTATAGTGGGTGAGTTACATCGGTGGGACGTACATTTTAAGTGTAGACACTGAGAGCCTGTCTACACTACAAAATTAGGTCAATTTACATTAGGTCCACCTACAGCCACTGCAGTAATTCAATTGGCTGTTGTGGTCCACACGACCCTCCTTCTGCTGGCAGTGTACGTCCTCACCAGAAGAGCTTGCACTTACTGAAGTGGGGCACTGACAGTCGGAGTGTGGGGCACTGACAGTCGTGCAGAGCTCGCCTGCCAGAGCCCTCTCGCCCCGGGGCTGACAGCCAGAGACCAAATGTGAAATTATAGCAGCCATGAAACCGACAAGAATGTCAATTTCACTTCTGGTAGGCTCCCTGCTGTGAAAGGGAGCCCTGGGACTGGCTGACAGCCCAGGGCGGGTTCCAGCTGCGAGCCCTGCGCAGGGCTGACAGCCAACAGGCAATGGCAATCACACAGTGTCTACACTGACCCTGACAATGACATCAACCTAAGGGCTATGCCTCTCACAGAGGTGAGGTTATTAAGTCAGCGTGGTAGGCGCTTTACATCTGTGGGAGCTATATTTTAGTGTGGACACTTGGAGAGTTAGGTCGACGTAAGCTGCCTTATGTTGACCTAACTCTGTAGTGTAGACCAGGAGATCTGTAGATCTGTAGAGTGTAGACTGTAGATCAGTCTCTCTGGGGCTCAATTCCCATCTGTCCAATGGCCATGGTAACCATTCCTTTGTCTGTGTACATTGTGAACTCCTGGGGGGTAGGGACATGGACAGGTCTTGGTCAGTGCTAGTTGTGTGCCCGGGATGCTGGCAGTGAAGTGGGGGGTGTCTTTAGCTCTGCTAATGCACCCAAGTCCCACACTGCAGACCTTTGGCATTGTTTTTCAGTTCAAAACATTCTGCAGTTTGCATGCTTTGCCAGCTGTATGTAATTCTCCCCCCATGCCCACATGCTTTCCCACAGCCAGACCTCGTTCTCGGTTTTGGGTGGAGGACACTCGAATAAGTCGAAGCCATTTGAAAGCCGCATTTGTCTGTCTTCCTGCAATCTTTCTTCCACTTTTTTCTGGCCTCTCTTTTCTTGGATCCCACTTTGCTTCTGAATTTCCTTCATTGCCATTCTTTCTGTCCTGTCCTGGTACCAGTTTGATTCTGTGGACCGCAGTGATGGTTCTTTCTTAGGAAATTGTGGCAAGGAATTCAGGATTTCAGAGCCTGGTTTCAAAGATACCAGGACAGGACCTACAATGCAAGTAGGTGAATGGTTAGCACACATCCCATCAGCACTGAACAAAACACAGGAGATCTGTAGGTTCAAATAATCAGGCTCAAGTGTGGAGTTATTTCCAAAGGCAATACACAACAGAGATGGCTCTGCGCCACTCACAGCAGAGATTTGTTACTGACATGTTTTTCCCTCTGCCATGGTTTTCCAATAGCCAACGGGTAAAATAGCTAATGACATTGTGTGTCTACACCAGACAATCCAATCAATGTTTGACTCTCCTCTTTCTGTAAGCCTGACCTTTGTTAATTCCATTCAGCCATTCCTGCGCCGAGAGTGCTGGCTGGGCTCCAGCTGTCAGTGGGTAGATGTCTTCCTGGTACAACTCCGACTGCAAATACACAGACAGTACAGTCACAGCTGCCCCTGCCAGCTACGGACAGCTTCAGCATGTCACTGGGAAGCAGAATTCTCAGCCTGAGAGAATAGCCATGGGAGCATTTCACAATGACTGATCCCAACAGCCCCGTTTTGTTTATGACCTTCAAATTTGCCATGAAAATTTACTAGGCCTGACACCAAATCCATGTGGCTCCCCTCTACTAGAAGGAGGGTGACGACAAAATAGCCGGAGACATTCCTCTCCTTTGCTCAACACTTACTTGCATTGGAAGAGGGGAATTTTGCAAGACACTTTTTAGTTCATTTCAGTAAGACTGTTATTTATGCAAGCACCATATGAAGGGGGAATCCAGCCACCACTGGCGTTAGTGACAAAGTTCCCATTAACTTCAGTAGGGTCAGGATTTCAGCCAGGGTGGATATTAAAGACAAAGCACAAGCAGGAAGGAGTTGGATGGTTTGAAAGTGCTGGAGTAGTGTGATACACTGTACCTCAAAATGGCACCCTGCAACCCCCATATTCATTATTCACATATGGCTGTGATATTTCATACAACGCATGCCATGTAAGGTATCATATGAAAGGTCATGATCTCCTGAAGCCTGTTCTTCTGTCCAAATATGTATATCATCATTAGTGTGTATGAAGTTATGAGATTTTGCTGTACGGTTGTTACTGAAATATGTTGTAAGTTCGCTAGTGACATACGGAGAAGGCAAACCGCGCCCAGTGACCATTAATCAGCAGGGGAGTTGTAATCAAGGGATTTACAGTCCATGACAGCTGCCCAAGCAGCACACAATGGGGACTGCTCAGCTCTATGACCAGCTGCACAAGACCACACCAGGAGATTGCTCCACCCAGTGACTCAGCAAAGCCCACCAAGACAGGTCTCGGCAAGTGTCTTCTCGGCACCAGGACTAAGGATATAAAACAGAAAACAGTTGCAATATGCCTTTGCCTTTCTCCTCCCCCACCTACGCTGGAAGCAACAGGAATGCCGAGAAGACAATGGTCATCTGAGGAGACTGGTCCAGGCTTAAGAGAAGCCTGTGCATTAAGAACTGTAACATCCAGTGAGGTGAGAAAATTGCTGATCTAAATACTACTTAATGTAATATGGTTTAAGATTTAGATTGTGTGTTTATCTTTTATTTTCTTCAGGAACTTTCTCTGATCTTTTATGCCTGCCACTTGTAATCACTTCAAATTTATATGTCTGTAGTTAATAAATCTGTTTTATACGTTACCTAAGACAGTGTATTTTGTGTGAAGTGCTTGGGAAACCCCAGCTCAGTTTACAAAGCCTGGTGCATGTCCTCTCCACACTGAGGGACCAGCCGACTGCACAATGCTGCCATAGGCTTATGAACTGGGCTGGCTGGGTAATACGCACATATGCCCCTCCTTCGCCTTGCACCCCGGAGCTGTACCTCTTGCCCTGCCTGGTTAGAGCCTGACCAGTTTATAAACGGGGCTGCAGCTTCCAGTGTCAGACTCAGTAGCTCACGGAGCCAGGACATGAGCTGATCAGGGAGCACGTGACAGGAGCTCCTGGTTCCATCCTCACTTGCACTGTCATTGCACCAGGGCTGAGGCTGGACGTATTTATCAGCTTCTTCTACACCAGAGCTCGCGCAGTGTAGACAGCCTGGTACCGGTGGTACCCGTGCTCGATCAGGTCATGCCACCCTTCTTATAAATGGCTCTCCTTGGGGAGGCTGTGTTTGAGAACGTTCACAGCTAGGCAGTTCTCAAGCCATTCACACTCATTTCAGTGACTCCATCCCCACACAAGGTGACACAGGGGACCACCAGGCAGGAGAAGAACAGTTCCTGCATTCTGAAGCATGGGCCCATGAGGATGTGTCAGGAGGGAACAACCTGTGCCAAACCCCGGGCTGGTGAGAATCAGCTCAGGGCTGTTACTTCAATGCAGATTCCCCCTTTACCTCAGCCGAGCACCTGGCTCCAAGGCAGTCTCAGAAAGGAGCAACCCTTCTGCCAGTGGCCTTGGCAGCAATCAAGGGCTGGGGATGCACTTTTAAAGGCTTTTTTTCTAAAACTTAAATTACTCCACTTGGAGCCCCAAACCAGTAACCTGGGAGCCTATAGGTAGATCTATAGCACTCCAGTGCCTTTGATAGGCAATTTATTCCCCATTTCCAGAGGGTTTTCAACAGGAAAACTTTACGGAAGAAAGGGAAGGGAAATGACAGGGTGAACTTGTATAAACCTTATCATGTACCGATTTCTATCACCACTACCCTAACGTGCAGGAGTCACAGTCCCAAACTAAACCCACCCGCAGAATGAGCCATCCCCTCTGAACAGCTGCTCTCCATCAGCTGGTCAAACTGCTGCACTGCTCCAGCCTCTGGGTGTGATCGAGAGCTCGCAGCATGCTGGGACAGCTACTCCACTCCGCCCGTAAACACCAGCTCTCCGCTGAGGACCAGATCCCCACAGCTGCTCCGCTCCCTCCGCAGGGTACAGCTGCTTCTTTCAGCTCAGCTCTTTTAGAAACGAATGACCCTCCACAGACGCCCTACCCCCCAGAGAAGTACAGCAGCCCAGAAGCATGCACTCTCTTTCCCTACTCCTGGCTTTCTCCAGGTCCTCTTACCCAACCATCACTCTCCATCAGGGTGACCCCGAGCCCAGTCATTGTCCAGGTTTTGCCCAAGGGGTCCCCAACGGGCTGATCTCCAAAACAGCAGCCCTGGGTACAAAACGTACCCCAATTATACCTCAATGTCCCCAAATGATGCACAGTTCCTGTATAAACAAGGTGCTGCCTTGCCCTGTCAGCTCCCTGCTCTGGTCGGTTCTAGGCCACAGAGCTTACAAAGGAAACCCGCTCAGCCCGCGCCTCCCCCTCCCGGCTCAGTAGTGCACTATCAGGCACAGTGGCTGTGAGTGAGAGGGCTGCTGATGCACACCTACCCGGCGAGGCACAATCATAGAGACGGGCTCAATCAGGCTTTTGCCTGGGATCAGTTTGTAGAACCGGAAGATCTCGCAGGCCGACACGTCAAGGCCCCTCTTTGGCATGATTCCTGAGGAGAGAGCAGAAGAAATGGCAGGTGGGGTTTGTAACATCGCCCTTCCACCAGCAAACATCCCATGCGGGCGTATTGACCCTCCCGCCGGACACATGCCTCAGAGGGCAGGTACAGCCCCTTCTCTTTTCAAGTGACATTACAAAGAGCCAGCTGGCTTGTACTGGACAAATGGCTGTGGGACCCTGGGGGGAATTCCCATCTCCCTAAGTGATACAGTATGTTTGGTTGAGAGCTGGATTCCTTCTGAAGCAGACAGGCTTCAAGCACCTGATGATGGGCTACCTTGGCTGCACAGACATGGAGAGGGGTAGGGGGGTCTGCACCCCTGACTGCCAGTGATCCCACTTCAGGGACCAATCTTATTTATCGTTTTCATTAATGACTTTGGCACATAAAGTGGAAGTGTGATAATAAAAATTGTAATGGTCTCCACTCAGAGTCTGGTTGGAAAGCATGGCATAGTGGTCACAGCCACAACCCTGGACTGCCAAGGGGGTTGTGGGGAAGGGAGCCTGGGCCCTCCCACTCCATCAGGCTCCGACCCAGGGCCCCTTGGGCTACCAGTAACCTGGCAACCAAGACTACTTAAGGCTGTTCTCCCTCGGCCTCTTCCTCTCGTCTCCTCCCCTAGAGTCACCTCAGTCCAAGGCCTTTGCCTGGTGGGAAAATCAAATCAAAAGGAAGCAGGAGGTAGTCGCCATTGTCCAGGGCCACAGGATACTTCCCTCTCTGCTTTCTCTAAAGAGGGTCCTCCCTTTCTTTACGGAGGGCCCCTCTGGGCAGCTGCTTCAGAGCCTTTAGCTTTCGTTTTGCTCTGCTCTGCTGGAGCTATGGGCTGCAGGTCTGCTCACCTTCAGTGCTGCTCCCCAACTGAGCTAATTCACTGCCTTTTAATTCCTCCAGCAGATGGAGCGTTTGCTGCAGGTGTGGCGGGGCGGGGCTGGCTGAGCCCAAAATGAGCCCGTATGCCCTTGTTGCTCAGTGTGGGGTTTGTACACCCCGTCACACACCCTCTCCCCCTCAAGATGGAGCCAGGGGAGTTGGGGCCATCCAATTGCTCCCCCCCTTCTCTAGAAAAGAAGTCAGCATTCTGGTGAGCTTTTCTATCTCGATGCTGAATTTGGAACACGTAGAGCTGGAGAGACAGGTACCAGCGTATCAGGCCGGGGGTTTGTGTCCTTCATGGTGTTTAGCCATCTTAACAGGACATTGTCGGTGATGAGCTTGAATGGGTTTCCCAGGAGATAGTATCGGAGCGAGTCTATGGCCCATTTTCTATGACAGAGTAGGCTTGTTCTCATGGGAACAGCTTGCAGCTCAAATAGAGCACTGGGTGTTCCTCCCTCTTTATTTCCAGCGCAGAGTCCCACATTGGAAGCATCTGTCGGAAAAATAAATTCTTTGGAGAAGTCTGGACTGAATAAGACTGGTTCTATACAGAGGTGTTCTTTCAATTCTTGAAAGGCTTTGGACCAGTGTACTTTCTTGGAGCTGTTGTTCATGATGAGATCAGTGAGAGGAGCACGATTTTCAAGAACCTCAATACAAACTGGCAGTAGTAGCCAGCAGTCCCGAAAACCTCCTGACCTGTTTCTTGTTGGTAGGTCATGGGGTGTCCTTGAGGGCTTGGAATTTATCTATAAGAGGCTGGATCTGGCCTTTCCCCAAAATGTATCCCAGGTAGATGGTTTTCTCTTCCCCGATTGTACATTTTCCAGGATTTGCTGTTAGTCCAGCCTGTGCAGGGAGCAGAACACAGCCGCCAGTTGGGCCAGATGTTCTTCCCAGGTTCGGCCTTAGATGACCACATCACCAAAATAGGCTGCAGAGTATGAGTTATGGGGCTGCAACACCTGGTCCATAAGGCGCTGGAATGTTGCAGATACCCCATGGAGTCCAAAGGGCATAGTTCGAAACTGGTAAAGACCGAAAGGAGTGGCAAAAGTGTTTTTTTTCTTGCGATTCTGGTGTGAATGGGATTTGCCGATACCCCTTTGTTAACTCTAAGGTAGTGATGTACTGATCTTCGCCCAGCCGGTCTAGTAATTCATCTACATGGGGCATGGGGTAGGCATCAAATCTGGAGATCACATTAGCCTTTCTGAAATCAATGCAAACCCAGACGGTGCCATCCGGCTTTGGGACTAATATGACAGGGCTTCGCCACTCGCTGTGGGATTCCTCAATGACCCCAAGCTCCAACATAGTCTGGACTTCCTGTTTTACCGCCTCACGCACTTTCCGGGGAAGCAGCCAGGGGTTCTCCCGGACGATCTGTCCAGGTTCAGTTTGGATGTGATGGTGCGTGAGGTGGTAGGGAGGAAAACACCATTGGGAAGGCTTTCACTAGGCACTGCACCTGGGCTCCTTGTTCAGGGCAAAGTTGTTCCCCCTTCTGTATAGCCTCTGGGGACAGGGCGTAAGGTACTTGGGGCCCCAGTTCTGGTTCTGGGGGGTACAGGGTTGATGAATAGACTTTCTTGTTCTTTCCATGCCTTCAGCAGGTTGATGTGATAGACCTGGGTGGGTTTCCGTTTGTCAGGTTGTCTAACCTCATAATTGACTGGCCTGACTTGGTGCACAATTTCATAGGGCCCCTGCCACTTGGCCAATAGTTTAGACTCCATACTTGGGAGTAGAACGAGGACCTGATTGCCTGGCCTGAAAGTGCGTACCTGCGCTCCCTTGTTATAGGAGCCTTCCTGGGTTTGTTGGGCGGTGAGGAGGTTTTCTTTAACCACAGCTCCCACAGTCTCCAGTCTCCCCCTAAGTCTCAACACGTACTGTAGGACATTCTGGGCTCTCGAGTTTGTCCTTCCCACATCTCCCGGACCAGGTCGAGGATTCCCCGGGGCCATCTCCCATACAAGAGCTCAAATGGGGAGAAGCCTGTAGAGGATTGCGGGACTTCCTGAATGGCAAACGGGGGGGGGGGGGGGGATCAATTGATCCCAATGGCGGACGTCTTTTGCCATAAACCTTTTCAGCATCTGCTTCAGGGTTCGGTTGAAGCGTTCAACCAGGCTATCCGTTCACGGGTGATAAATGGAGGTCTGGAGGCTCTTTATTCTTAAAATCTCACTGACCTGTTTCATCAAGCGGGATGTGAAATTGGTACCTTGGTCAGTGAGAATCTCCTTGGGAACTCCTACTTGAGCAAAGACTTTCAAAAGTTCCATGGGAATAGTCTTTGCTTTGGTGTTACGTAGCTGGATTGCCTCCGGATAGCGAGTCGCAGAATCAGTTATCACCAATAGGTGTTTCGATCTGGCAGCACTTTTTTCCAGGGGGCCGACAAGATCTCTTCCAATTCATCTGAAGGGGACATCGATGACCGGAGGAGGGACAAGGGGGGGCTTTCATCCCCCCTTTTGGCCTGACTAGCTGGCATTCCGGGCAGGAGTTGCAGAAGTTTTTTACTTCTTGAGGTATGCCAGGCTAGAAGAAGCGGTCTAAGAGCCGGACCAGAGTTTTCTCCCGTCCAAGGTGGCCTGTGGAGGGGATGGCGTGGGCCAATCGCATGACTTCTCACCTATACGGCCGAGGGACAAGGAGTTGTGAATGGATTTCCCCCGTCCGATGGTCCTTTTCCAGCTGATATAAGCATTCCTCTTGGAGCTCAAAGTGTGGGTACTGCACAGCCCTGTGGGGATCTATGACCTCACTGTTAATCACTGGGAATTGTTCATATGCATGGGTCAAGGTCTTATCCTCCCTCTGGTCCTCCACAAAATCCATCTCTTGGGTCAGTAACTCCCTTCCAGGAGCAGGGTTTGTAACGTCTCCTGATTTGGTGGATCTTCTGGCAGCACTCTCTCGTGGGAACCCCCCTCCCTGGGGTCCTGCTCCTCACCCAGTCCCAGCAGGATCACGGGTAAGGGTTCCCTCCCTGCCTTGGTTCCCTCGGGCACTTCCTCCGGGCTCCCAGGAACAGGTCTTCATCCCCTCAATAGGTCAGAAAAGTGCTCCCAATCCTGACCCAAGATAACAGGGTAGGCTTGGGTTGGGGCTTGCCCCACTACGAGGGGTCTCATGTTATCCCCTATGGTGACCTCTACCCAGGCACTGGGGTAGGATTTAATATCCCCATGAATGTACTACAGGAAGATGGTCTCTCCAAGGGCTTCAGGGTTGGGGACCAGGTCGTCCCGGACCAAGTGTTTGCTCACACCCCGAGGCTACTAGACCTATTACCTCAGTCCCATTTATTTGTACAGGAACTGTTAGTTTTGCTGGAGCGTGCTTCCGGGCACGGCTCCCTGCCGTCCATACTTGCCCACAGCTGTACTCCATATAGGGACATTCCTGATAATGGCGGCCTGGATGCCCACAAGAGAAACAGGCCTACATGGTTAGCCCTGAGACTGCTGGTGGGGAGGGCCCTAGGTCAGAGCCCTCCCACTCCACTGGGCTCTGACCCAGGGCCCCTTGGGCTACCAGTAACCTGGCAACCAAGACTACTTAAGGCTGTTCTCCCTCAGCCTCTTCCTCTCATCTTCCCACCTGGGGTCACTTCAGTCCAAGGCCTTCGCCTGGTGGGAAAATCCAAATCACAAGGAAGCAGGAGGAAGTCGTCACTGTCCAGGGCCACACGATACTTCCCTCTCTGCTTGTCTCTAAAGAGGGTCCTCCCTTTCTTCATGGAGGACCCCTCTGGGCAGCCGCGTCAGAGCCTTTAGCTTTCGTTTTGCTCTGCTCTGCTGGACCTGTGGGCTGCAGGTCTGTTCACCTTCAGTGCTACTCCCCAACTGAGCTAATTTGCTGCCTTTTAATTCCTCCAGCAGATGGAGCATTTGCTGCAGATGTGGCAGGGCAGGGCTGGCTGAGCCCAAAATAAGCCCTTGTTGCTCAGTGTGGAATTTGTACACTCCATCATAATGACACAAAGTTGGGAGGTACTCCCAGTATGGAGGAGGATCAGAATATCATTAAAGAAGATCTGGAGGACCCTGAAAACTGGAGTAATAGAAAAAGGATGAAATTTAATAGAGCAAATTGCAAGGTCATGCACTTAGGGACTAACAACAAAAATTTTTGCTATAAGCTGGGGACGTATACATTGGAAGTGACAGAGGAGGAGGAAGACCTGCATGTATTGGTTGATCACAGGATGACTATGAGCTGCCAATATGATGTAGCTGTGAAAAAGGCCGATGCACTCCTAGGTTGCATCAGGCAAAGTATTTCCAGTAGAGATAGGAAAGTGTTAGCACCATTATACATTCCTGGAGGAATTCTGAGCTACTGCCCATGCAGCTTTTGCACAGAAATTAATGTTATGCATGCAGAATTTCCTTTTTCGCTCCACAGAAATGAGGGTGTATGATCAAGGGCCTGGAAACACTCCCCTATGAGGAGTGACTGAACAGACTGGGTTTGTTATTTTGGAGAGGAACATGACAGAAGTCTATAAAACAGTGACTGGCCCAGAGATGTGCGACGGGGAGGTCCTGTTTTCTCTGTCTCAGAATGCAAGGCCAAGGGGACATTCAATGGCATTGAAAAGTGGGAAATTCAAACCCGATAAAAAGGATACACTTCTTCCCACAACTTGTGATTAGCCCTGCGTTCACCCCACAACAGCCCTGAAAGGCTTACGGAAGCTGGAAAAGACCAGTTATGATGGACCCCGCATGCGGGGATTAGGCTGGAGAAGCAACCCCTGACTGCAGCATGAAGCTCAGCTGAGCAGGTATGTGCTGGGCTAGTATAAAGCCAGGAAGCGGCCAACAGAGATGGCTGCAGTGAGGAAGGCTACAGCCACCCTCTGTGCATGAGAGAGGGAAGGAGGGAATGCAGGTAGGACAGGGTGGACTAGGCCCAGAGGCCCCCTGCTGAAGGCCTGAGGGTCCTGCTACACCCAATCCCAGAGAGGAGCAGAAGAAAAATCCTCCAAGATTTTTGGAAGCAGTGGAAGCAGCCAATCAGAGGGGCAGCAGAGACAGGGTCAGTCAGTTGCTGTCTGGGCCTGGAAGAGAGAGTCCTGGGTTCCTGGCCTGGCTGGAAGAGCAGCGGGACCACAGACAGCTCAGTGCATGCAGTGACCAGGGGAGCTAAGAAGGAGCTCCTGGCTGGCTGCTGGGGGTACGTCCCCATACCAGGGCCGGGAGAAGATAAAGACTGAGTCACTGAAGACCTGCCGAACAAACCATTGACTAAGGGGTGCAGGCGAGAGGTGGATGCCAACCCCATTACACCAGGGAAAGAGTAAGACCCCAAGAGCCTGACCCTGAGGGAAGGGCATTCCCAGAAGAGAGGCAGGTGGAGAAAAAAACCTGTGGGAGGCAAGTAGGAAGCAGCCCAGGGAGAGAGCATCAAGGTTGGGGACTGAGCAGGTCTTGGCTGAGTGCTGTAGGGTGCCTGGCTTGGAACCTGGATTTGTGGGTGGGCCCAGGTTCCCCTACTAGCCACTGGCAGAGTGGGTGGGAAAAGCACACAGCAACCTGGCTGGAGTGGCAAGTCACTAAGAGGAAGCTGCAGCTCCTGGCGTGAGAGTGGGGCTGCAGAGTGAAGGAGGGGACAACAGGTCAAGGCATTGCACCTGGAAGAGAGCGAATCCCCAAAGCAGCCCCAAGGAGTGAGGGCCCCATGACAGGAACTCATTGCCACAGGAAGTCACTGAGACCCAGAATTTAGCAAGAAGGACTAGCCTTCTTTATGGCCAATAAGAAACTCCCAAGTTTTAATGGTAAAACACATTTTGGCAGGGCTCTTAAACCTCCTGCTTCAGGGCTGAAGCCAGTCTCTGAGTACTAGAGACCATGAGTACTAGAGACTATGTGTGGGCAAGCTCTCTCACATGGTACTGGGGAGCACTTCCATACATTCTGGAGGGTGGAGTCAAGGCTCTGACCACTTCCTGCCCCTCTCCATTCACTTGTTCCTGGGGGCACAGCAGCTGCATGAAGTCTGCTTTGGTCAAGCAGGGGAGCTGTGTGTGTGAGTGGGGGAGGGTTATTATACCTCCCTACATGGGCACATTAGGGCTAGTCAAAATCGAGCTCTCAGTAAGAAGAGTTTAATCTCCCAGGCTTCGTGTGCTATTACTGAGCATAACATGGCAGCTGTGTGTTTCTGGGCATGGTCCTTGCCCCAGCTCTGCCTGACTTTGGAAGCTGTCTGAGCTACGCACTATATAAACCAGCATCCTTCTCCTGCTGCCACTCGATTCAACTAGACGCTGCAGAAAGCAGTGCTTGGGGAAGATGAATGTGTACTCCATGATGAGATGCTGGCTTCCTCAAGTGTTGATCCAGTGTAGCATGGAACAGGTGCCCTGGCCACAGCATCTAATGAGCAATTCAAAGTAGGTGGCAGGAGCAAAAGCCAGAAACCTGTCTGTACAGACCTGTGGTATTATTTTGCCTGTGGAGATTATCTGCAGACAGCACAAACCCGGAGGTAGTTCTGTAATTTTACTAAGAATAATTGCCTTGAAATGTAACCACAGTGTGCTACAATTTTAAGCATTGCCCCTTCTTGCATAAGGATCATTTTAAGAGCTAAGAGTCCAACAGGAGATAAGTATATTTTAATTGGAGTAACTGGGACTGGCCCAGCTTTCAGCCACTCCAGATTGTCACCAAGTGCCTCAATGCAAAACTCTCTCTAACTGCGGGGGTTGATTCTCCTCTCACTCTTGTCAGTTTTATACTGGTGTAACTGCACTCATCTTAATGGAGTTACACCCTGATTTGCACCCTGCATGTGAGAGCCCATCAGGCCAATGACCTTAACATCCATGCATAGCAGCCAGTGCCTGACACTGCACATTCCTGCCCTGCAGGAGACTCATTCAGTCTGCATCAGAAAGATGAAGGACTGAGCTGGCTCTGCCAGAGATGTGGGGATTGCAGAGCTGAGGCTCAGACCACTACATCATCCTCTGGAGAAGATCTAAAGTCTCCAGCAGCAGACCCTGCACTGTGCCTCAGGGGAGCAGAGAGGGTTGGGCAATGCAGCAGGTGATCAAAGGAGGCCATTGGAGCAGCCCTGTCAGTCTGCATCCTGCAACAAATGCACAGTCCTGACTACCCAGTCTGCAAGGTGGTGAACAATGCAGTGCTCCCGCAGCCCAGTGCGCCCGCAGCCCCACTCACCTCCATGGCAGTGCAGAACAAACATTAGCCCACACAACAAGTCCCCACATTTGTTTCAGAGCACATCCAAGGGAGAGGTGGCTGGGGTGGCCAGATCCCTGCTCGCAGACTCCAGGGTGCAATAGCCATGCCAGGCAATTAGCCAGTTGCAGTAGTAACTGGAAAAACACACCCAAGAAAACAGCAAGAAGCAGGGTGGGGCAGGCTGCAACCTGCTCGGCAGCATGGCTCTGCCTTTGTACAGGTGTTTGGCTGGGGCTGGATGTGGCCCTAAGTCCTCCACTGATGAGCCTTCTTTAGTCCTGAACTACTGCTGAGTGTTTAGAGCAGCTTCATTTACTTTTAATGTTAATAAATCCTCCTGTCTAAGGCGCATTTGATCTGATTTAAAAGGTGGCTGCTCCTTGTCTTGACCCCAAAGTCAGCTCAGTGTATATTTCCCCCGCTACATTCAGTGGACTAGATTTTGGTAATACTGGAAAGGTCTTCTTGACAAATACATTTGACAGCATTTCTTGATGAGGTTACAAGTTAGGCTGATAAAGGTAATTGTGTTGATGTACTGAAAGTCGTGAGAGGTCTCTGACTTAGTACCACATGCTATTCCGATTAAAAGCTAGCACTATACAAAATCAATATGGCATATATTGAATAGATGAAAAACTGGCTAACTGATAGATCTCAAAAGCAATTGCAAATGGAAAATTGTCACCCAGTGGTGTGCTTCCAGTGGGGCTCCACGGGCATGAGTTCTCAGCCCAATTCTATTCACTATTTTAAACAATGATCTGGAAGAAGTTATAAAATCCTTGCAGGTAAAATTTACAGATGACACAATTGGTGGAATGGTAAATAACGGTAAGGAGAGGGCAGTTCTACAAACCAACCTGGCTTGCAGTAAACTGTGTCTTAATATAGCCAAAAGCAAGGTCTTACACCTAGGAACAAAGTCAGATGGACGGGGAAGCAGTGATGCTGAAAAGAACTTAGGGGTCATGCTGGAAACCAACTGAACACGTGCTCCAAGTACCAGGATGTGGCCTAAAAAGCTAATGTAGTCCTGAGACATGATAACAGGGGAATATCATGTAGCAATAGGGCAGTGCTGTTACTTCTGTACACATCACTGGGGATACCATTGCCCCAGATTTAAAATTGAGGAAGATTTAGGGAAGAGCCATAGGAATAATCTGAGGACTGGGAACCAAGCTTTCCATTAGAGGCATCAGTTCAATCTAATTAGCCTATCGAAAAGATGGTTAAAAGACTATTTAAACACTGTCTGTAAGTCCCTGCTTGAGGAGAAGATGGCTGATACTGGAGAGCTCTTTAGTGTAGCAGGCAAAAGCACAAGGAGATCCCAGACTGGAAGCAAAGTCAGCAAAGTTCAAACTAGGAATAAGATGCACATTTTAACAGCAGGGGTAAATAGCCACTGAAGCAGTTTCCCAAAGATATGGGGGATTTTCCATCATTTGCAGTCTTTATATCAAGACTGGATGACTTTCTAAAAGATCCGCTCTAGCTCAGCTGGGAGCTCTTGGGGGTGGGAGGGGAGGGACAGGGACGACTGCAGGGCTCACTGGGCAAGGTTTTCTGGCTGGGTTCTGGTGGGGATCAGATTAGATGATCATAACAATCCCTTTTGATTTTAGGAGTCTATGGATCTGTGATTTACAACAGTGTAACACTGAGTGAGAGCAGAACTGGGCCCCCTGTCTTCTCACCAAAACCCATGGTATTTTGGGCCAGTCCTACACTCCCACTGGATTCCCTCAGGGTGTGGGATTGGGCCCCTAGTGAGATGACACCTATATGATAAAAACTCACCGATTCCTTTCTGTGGTAGATGGGAGCGGTATTCCATCAGGTAGTTCAGATGCGGCTTCTCAGAGCTTATCTCATAGTATCGTATGTTCCCATCTCCCTAGAGATGACAAGAGAGAACACAGAGCATTGCTTAGCCCCTGCAGAAGAGGGGGAGCCCAAGGTGGTCACCTGGTTTACCTTCTCTAATGCCCATTGGTCTTTTAAAGCGCTATCATATTACCTTGTATTTGTTTCCTCTCTAAACTAAACCGTCCCAATCTTTCCAGTCTCCTTCCATATAAAAGTATTTTCCTGGCCTCTAACATTTTTCCTCCACTGCTCTCTGAACCCCTTTTATATCTATCTGTTATGTCCTTTTAGTCAGAGAGTGACCAAAATGGAAGCCAGTATTCCAGGTGAAGGTGTATCATTGATTTATAGTACTACACTTAGGAAGGGAAATCAGAAGCACAACTACAAAATGGAGAATAACTGGCTAGATGGTGAACGATGGCTATTGCTGAAAAGGATCCGGGGGTTACAGTGGATCACAAATTGAATATGAGTCAACAATGTGATGCAGTTGTGAAAAAGGCTAATATTCCAGGGGGTATTAACAGGAGTGTCATAAGTAAGATACCAGGAGGTAACAATCCACCTCTATGGGGCACTGGTGGGGCCTCAGCTGGAGTAAACTGTTAAACTCTGAGTTGCCAGAGTCCAAAGGAGAGAAACAAAAATGCTCAACTGTTTAGAAAACCTGACCTATAAGGAAAGGTTAAAGAAACTGGACATGATTAGTCTTGCAAAAGACTGAGGCAGGACCTGATCACAGCCTTCAAACATGTTAAAGGCGGTTATAAAGAAGACTGATTAATTGTTCTCCATGTCCACTGAAGGTAGGACAAGAAGTAACGGGCTTAATCTGCAGCAAGGGAGATTTTGGTTCGATATTAGGAAAAACTTGCTAACTCTAAGGACAGTTAAGCTCTGGAACAGGCTTCCAAGGGAGGTTGTGGAATCCCCCTCATTGGAGGTTTTTAAGAACACGTTGGACAAAACACCTGTCAGGGATGGCCTAGGTATATTTGGTCCTGCCTCAGCGTAGGGGCTGGACTCGATGACTTTGTGAGGTCCCTTCCAGCCCTACATTTCTATGATTCTGGATTTTAGGTGTTCAGCAGTGCCTCTGCCCTGGGCTGCCCACTACATGGGGGTGCAGCTCAGTTTGGGGTAGACGTATCTCTATTATTTGATTCTCAGGCCCTACAAAGAGAGGGGACAGAAGCTGACAGACCTTTGCTCACCTGGGCCCTGACATGGCAAGTACTCCTGAGCATGCTGGACTTCACTCCCACAAAGGCAGCTAGCTCATGTGCCTAGTGTTAGTGTTAGGCTTGTTTGCGCGTGGGGTAAGGATTAAAGAGCTAGACACATCAGGACTTTGGGAACTTTCAGATCAACACACGAAAGCACTTTTTTCTGCCTGTCATATAATGAGCCAAACAGGAGAACATGTGGACCCCAAATGCGTACCAGACTAGACAATGCACAGCAATTTGTGACCCATACTTGGACAAGTGAGCCCCAAAGGCTTTTAAGAGCAGAGTGAAATCCCATCTTTTCAGCCTCACTTCCAGTGAGTGCAAGTGAAGTCTTTTCCTGCTACTTTTTTTGCTCATCTTTGGCAAAGACTGTGGAATGTCCTGGCAATATGTGATTTTGCAGTTAATACTGAAGACCTGATTCACAGTTAGTATCTGTCTATTATCCAATAAGTGTCTTATTGCTTCATTGGGGACCTTCAGTTAAAGCATAATGGCGTGATTCTCATCTCACTCAAGCAAGTGTAAATCGGGAGTAACTCCACTGAAGCCAATGGCATAAAAGCAGCGTAGTTGGGAACAGAATTGGTGGCGTTGATGTTAATTCAAAGAAAAAGCACTTACCTTGCTCACCACATACAGCATGCGAGTGTCAGAGTCATAGAACGGGAACAGCAGCCCGGAGGAGCCATCCAGATCCTCCTCAACTAAAGGCACAGAAAGATCACCCTGGGCATGTCAAAGGAGAGAGAAACAGCCGCTCTCAGAACCTTAGTGCCATGCCTGAAAATGCCCTAGAGCATCTGACCCTGAGTCCCACTGTTGCTCCCACTGGATTTGTGGGAGGGAGGGCAGTTCTGAGCGGGCCCATGGCCACGGAGGGAGGGATACGCAGAAGACTCTTTACACTTCTTATTGCAGGTCTGGAGTATGGACATGCTGCTCCCGTCCGCCTGCTGCCAGCCCATAAGCTCCTTTGAAACTGCTCCCTCCCATACTAGGCACCCCTTCCAATGCTAGAAGATTGCTTCCATTTCTGTTTGCATTATTGCCATGCTCTCAGCCTGCCTTGCTTCTTCACCAATTAGTTTCTATTTAATAACATTTTATACACAAAAGCCAGGATCCACCTAAGAGTTTTTAGCTTGACAGACCAGCTTGGAACTTAGCTACAAATTAATTCTTGGGTATTTGGCAGGCACACGGGTTAAAGTGAAAGTAATGAGGAATCCCAATTGTGAGGAAAACTGGGCAATCTATGGCGGGATTGCTGATTCTGACTCACCTGCTCCCATAGTGCAATTTGCCTGCTATTCCAGCGGGATGTTCCAGTAGAGAGCAGCTTTTTCATGTTTCCTAGAAACAAAACTTTATTCACTCTGTGAGACTTGCAGCTGGCTTCCTGTCAGGAGACACACAGCACATTACTGTCATGGTCACATGGGAAATCCAGGCATGGGGAGACCTTTTTTTTCTCATTGCTGTCCAAAGCTTATTTGAGTTTTCTGAGCAGAAAAGGCACGAACTGCCCCCTTCTCCTGAAGCCCCACCGAATGAGGATCTCACTGCACATCTGCCAGCAACGGCAGCGCAGGTCACATGGGGCTGGGTTACTTGCCCCGCTGCAGCAATGGGAGTGCAGGTCGCACGTAGGGTTGCCAGGCATCTGGTTTTCAACCGGAACTCCCAGTCAAAAAGGGATCCTGGCAGCTCCCATCAGCACAGCTGATCGGGATGCTAAAAGTCTGGTTGGCCACAGTGCTAGCAGGGCAGGCAGGCTCCGTGCCCAGCTCCTGGGAAGCAGCCATGTCCCTCCGGCTCCTAAGCAGAGGTGCAGCCAGGGGGGCTCCACGTGCTGTCCGCCCCCTGCTCCAGGACACCACCCTGAGTGCTGGCTCCAGAGCTCCCATTGGCCAGGAACTGGAGCCCACACCCTGAACCTCCTTCTGCGCCCCAACACCCTGCCCCATCTCTGAGCCCTCTCCCATACTCTGAACCCCTCGGCTCTACCTGGGAGCTCCCTCCTGCACTCCAAGCCCTTCATCCCCAGCCCCACCCCAGAGCCTTCACCCCCTCCCACACCCCAATCACCTTCCCCAGCCCAGAGCCCCCTCCCACACTCCAAACCCCTCAGGCCCACCCTCCAAACCCCTCCTGCACACCAACCCCTACCCCAGCCCAGTGAAAATGAGCGAGTGAGCAAGGATGTGAAGAGTGAGCTACAGAGGGAGGGGGATGGAGTGAGCGGGTGGCAGGGCCTTGGAGAAGGGGCAGGGCCTTGGGGAAAGGGTGGGGCAGGGGGCAGGGCAAGGGCGTTCAGTTTTCTGCAATTAAAAAGTTGGCAACCCTAGTCGTACACGGCTGGGCTGCTTGCCCTGCTGCAACAATGGCAGCAGTGTGGCACAGAGGGCAGCAAGAGGCCCAGCCCCCCTGGGGCCTTTGTGAAAAGCCCAGCGATCAGCTTTACACTGCGCTGGAGTGCATAAGAGGGAGACCATGGGGCCCTCTAGCGGCTGCAGCTTGCAGGAGCCACATGCCAGAATATTGCTACCCTGCCAGCAGAAATGTTACGTAGGCTGCGGCTAGTTATGGGTTTTAATGTAGAAGCTTTTGTGTACTTGCACAGTGTGGCCCTGCAATCTCTCCCACCAAGTCAGAGAGGACTATTCAAACAGACACTGGCAAGGGGACAACACAGACCTGGATCCCTTGCCATCTATTCCCAGGACACCATGCACCATAGTGTCTAGGTGGGAAACTAACCCAAACATGGTGAATTTCAGGGGGGAGTGAGAGAATGAGGGGATGAGGTGGGCAAGAAGCAGGAGGCTGGGGTGAGCATAAGAAAGGCAGACAGGCAAGAGTGGCATGAGGTGTTACGGGAACCAGTCAGGTGAGGGGATGAGGCAGGGGTGCATAGGAGAACGGAAATCTTTATGTTTTCCCTTCCGAGAAGTAGACGACTGCAAAGCAGTGAATTCAGGGTGTAAATTCAGATACTGAGCACAGTGCTGTTTGCCTCTCCTGGGTGGCAGCCAGTAGCTGTTAGCATGCAGAGGGAGATCTGCTGCTGGAGACCCTTGACAGACACCATGAGATCCGTTCTAACAAAGCATGGCCCCGGGATGTGCGAGCTCACAGAGGAGAGCAGCGTTTCGCCCCAGTCACTCTGTTTCTGTTGCGGTTTCCAGGTTTATTCTGCCGGTGGGGAAGGAGTGCTGCTGTAAGGCAGCACGACGTTACTTCACATGCTAAGGACTGTCCAAAAGCAGCGGCCAGGCTGTCAAGACGAGCAAGTCACACCAAGCTGTGTTGAGAGAGGCTGAGAAATGGCTGCTAGAGATTAGAGCAACAGCATCCAATTGATTTCCTCTTGGAAGCAGGCTCCGTTTCATCCAGGCCTCTGCTGGAGGAACTTGCAGCACCACGTTGGGACACATCATGGACACATTTCCAATTTAATCTCTTTTGAAAGAATTTGCCCCTCTTCCTCACAGATGGACAGGGCTACGCTGCGGCTGGCATGCACTGCTCCACAGACGAACTCCAGTTTAACTGGAGGGTTTAGCCCGGCCGCTCTGGAACACCAGGGCGCTGGACTGGGGCTCAGACGGAGCACGCTGAATAATCCGCTCCAAAATTCCCCACATCAGCCCAAGTCACATATCCTGCCTCCACCTGGCCCCTTGTGCAATGCTGCCCACAGAAGCAGCCATCCCCACCTGGAATACATCAGTGCGGAAGAGAAAAGACGGTGACTCACCTTCTCGTACCTGTTGGTCTTCGAGATGTGTCGTTCGTGTCCATTCCAATCAGGTGTGCGCACGCACACGTGCAGGGTAGCCGGAAGATTTTTCCCCTAGCAGCCTCCGTCGGGCCGGTCTGGAGCCCCCTGAAGCCTTCATGGCGCTCAATATAGAGCCCTGCTGACCCACCACCCCCTCAGTTCTTTCTTGCCGGCTACTCCGACAGAGGGGCAGGAGGGTGGGTATTGGAATGGCCACGAACAACACATCTCGAAGAACAACAGTTACGAGAAGTGAGTAACCGTTTTTTCTTCTTCATGTGCTTGTTCATGTTGATTCCAATCGGGGACTCACAAACCCAAGTTCAGGAGATGGGGTCGGAGTCTTCCACTGATTGAAGCACTTTTCTGAAGGCCGCGTCGTCTCTGGCCTGCTGGGTAATTGCATAGCGCGTGGCGAAAGTGTGGATGGAGGACCACGTCGCTGCCCTGCACATTTCCTGAGTGGGAACCTGACCCAGGAACGCTGTTGATGAAGCCTGCGCCCTGGTGGAGTGTGCAGAGATCGGAGGTGCAGGACCCCTGCCAGGTTGTAGCGCTCACAAACACAGGACGTGATCCATGACGAAATGCCTTGTGACGACACAGGCAGTCCTTTCATTCTGTCCACCACTGACATGAATAACTGGACCGATTTTCTGAACGGCTTTGTTCTCTCGACGTAAAAGGGTAGCGCCCTGCGGACATCCAAAGAATGGAGCCTCTGCTCCCTGCCGCTGGAAAGTGGCTTAGGGTAGAATACCAGGAGAAAGATGTCCTGGTTGATGTGAAACTGTGACACAACCTTCGGGAGGAAAGCAGGATGGGGCCTGAGCTGCACCTTGTCCTTACAGAACACGGCGTAGGGAGGGTCGGACACCAGGGCCCTGAGCTCAGACACCCTCCTGGCCGAGGTTATCGCTACCAGGAACGTCACCTTGTAAGAGAGGGAGAGCAGGGTGCATGTCTTTAAAGGTTCAAAGGGGGGTCCCATGAGCCTAGAAAGGACCAGATTGAGGTCCCAGGCAGGGACAGGCTGATGCACATTACGGTATAGCCTGTCGAGCCCTTTTAAGAACCGGCTGACCATAGAGTTAGCAAACACAGAGCGGCCCTCCGCACCCAGGCGGAAGGCTGAGATGGCTGCTAAGTGGCACCCTTACTGATGACAACGAAAGCCCCGCTGCTTCAGATGGAGGAGGTAGCCCCGAATCAGTGGCACTGAGGCTAGCATCAGGGACAAATGGCGCTGCACTGACCAGGTTGAAAATCTCTTCCACTTGGCAAGGTAGGTGGCTCTCGTAGAGGGTTTTCTGCTGCCAAGGAGGACCTGTTTAACCTGGGCTGAACAGGAAAGCTCCATTGGGTTCAACCATGGAGCTTCCACGCTGTGAGGTGAAGCAACTCAAGGTTCAGATGTTGAAGACGACAGTGATCTTGTGTCAGAAGGTCCGGGAAGAGCGGCAGGGTGAGAGGGGCTTCCACTGACATGTCTAGGAGAGATGTGTACCAGTGCTGGTGGGGCCAGGCTGGTGCTATCAATATGACCTGAGCTCATTCTCTCCGGATCTTGAGGAGCACCTTGTGAACCGGCGGTATGGGTGGAAAGGTGTATAGGAGACAACCTCCCCATGGGAGGAGGAATGCGTCCACGCTGAAGTCCGGGCTGTGATTCTGGAAGGAGCAGAACTGCTGGCTCTTCCTGTTGTGTCGCGTGGTGAACAGGTCTGGGGAAAGCCCCACCTCTGGAAGACTGAAATCGCGACATCCGGGTGAAGGGACCACTTGTGGCTGTGAAACAACTTGCTGAGGTGGTCCACCAGCTCGTTCTGCACCCCGGGGAGGTGCGACGCTTGCAAGTGTATTGAATGTTCTATACAGAAGTCCCACAGCATGAGGGCTTCCTGGCACAGGGGAGAGGAGCGTACGCCCCCCGTTTGTTCGTATAGAACATTGCTGTTGTATTGTCCATCATGACTGATACACGTTGTCCCGTTAAGTATGCCCAGAAGGTCTGGCATGCCAGGCACACCGCTTTCAGCTCTCTGACATTGATGTGGAGACCTAGATCCGCCTGAGACCAGAGGCCTTGAGTCCTGCAGTCTCCCAGATTTGCTCCCCAGCCCAAGTCTGATGTGTCCCTCACTAGCAACAGAGATGGCTGCGGCGTGGCGAAGGGGACCCCTGAGCATACCTCCTGAGGGTCAGGCCACCACAGGAGGAAGTCGAGGACCTTGCAATGCAGGGTCAAAATCCTGTCCAAGCTGTCCTGGGCTGGGTGGTATACTGACGCAACCCATGACGGAAGAGGTCGAAGCCTGAGTCTGGCATGCTGCACCATGTAGGTACAGGCAGCCATGTGTCCGAGAAGCTTCAGGCAGTTTCTCGCTGTGGTGGTGGGAAACTGTCCGAGGCCTCAAATGATATCGGTCAGGGCCTGAAACCTCACTTCCGGCAGGTATGCCCTGGCTTGGGTCGAGTCCAGTACTGCCCCTATAAACTCTAACCTCTGGACGGGAGACAGAGTCAATTTTGCTTCGTTTAGAAGGAGACTCAGCTTGTCGAAGGTGGCTCTGATGAACCTGACCTGTTCGTGAGAAGGGTCCCTGAAGAGGGATGGGGAAGGAGGGTGGAAGGGCGGGAGGGCACAGAATTGGATCAAGTGACCCCTCTCTACTGTGGAGCACCCAGCAGTCCGAGGTGATTCAGGACCATGCACAGTAGAAAGGGGACAGTCGGGATGAGAAGGTAAGGTGGGGTGGATCCAGTTGGGGATCTGGTGCGCCTGTCCTCAACCACCTTCAAAAGGCCTCTTTCAGGCCAGAAGGTGGTTTGGATTGGCCAGATCCCTGGCCTGAGGATAGGTGTTGTCTTTTCCTGCCACTCCTTTTCCTCCTCTGGGAACCTTCCTGGCGGTTCTGCTGATAGAACCTCAGAGGAGGTTGCGACCTAAAGTGTGGTAGGAGTGTGCAGGGCCAAAGACTGGAGGGTGGCTCATGAGTCTTTCAGGCTATGAAGCCTCTTGTCTGTCTTTTCAGAGAAAAGAGTCACACCTTCAAATGGGAGGTCCTGAATAGTTTGCTGGACCTCGTAAGGGAGCCCCGATACTTGGGGCCAGGAGCCCCTTCTCATGGCCACCCCAGCAGCCATGACCCTAGTGGCGGCATCCTCACCGTCCAATGCGGCCTGGAGGGAAGCCCGGGAGGCTAGTTTTCCCTCCTCCACCAAGGCCAAGAACTTGACTCGGAAGTCTGAAGGGAGGAGCTCCACAAATTTGGCCATCGCTGCACAGGTGTTATAAGAGTACCTGCTGACGATGGCCTGCTGGTTTGAGATACGGAGCTGCAGACCCCCTGTAGAGTAGACTTTTCTCCCAAAAAGGTCGAGTAACTTAGCCTCCCTGTTTTTAGGGGAGGGCCCCTGGAAACCCTGCTGTTCACGCTGATTAGCAGTGTCCACAACAAGAGAGTTGGGAGGTGGGTGGGAGTACAAATGTTCGTAACCCTTGGAGAGCGCGAAATAACGCCTCTCGTTCCACTTGGCAGTGGGTGGTAAGGAAGCTGGGGTCTGCCATAGGATCTTGGTGGTGTCCGCAATAGTTTTAATAAGTGGTAGGGAAATAGGAGAAGGACCTGAGGGAGCGAGGGTATCCACCTTGGGATCAGCCTCCTTGACCACCTCTTCAGCCTTAATGCCCAGACCCTTCGCAGCAACTGGTGTAGCACCCTGTTGTCCTCCAGCGCCAAGGCTATGACTGCGCCCACCAATGCCTCGTCCGGAGACAAGGCAGAGGAAGCCCCTATAAGCAGCAGATGCTCCCTGCCATCAGCTCCCAAGGGGTCCCGCGACAGTCGGGGAATGTCAGTGCCGATGGAGCACCTGTCAGGGCCAGGGCAGTCAACCGCCGGTGGAGCCGGTGCCGAACCACGTCTGGAGCTTTCGCCTGGCTCACCTTGACCTCGATTGTCGTCTCCTACTCCCCCGAGAGTGGTAGGAGTCAGACTCCGACTCAGAGGTTTCCAAGACTGAAGACCAAGGAGGAGCCGAACTTCAGTGCATTGAGCGTCGAGAGCTTGGGGAGTGACTAGGCTCTCTGTCCGAGTGGGCCGATGTCGAAGGACGTGGAGAGGGGGAATGCCTGGACATCACTGCCGGCTTCCCTCGACTGCACCTGGGGGCGGGGTGAGATTGCCAGCGCCGGAGGTTCCTTCCTCCTAGGGGATGAGAACGGCGCCATAAGGTGCAGCAGATCCCGAGCAGCTTCAAAAGCTTCCAGCATTGAAGGAAGCGGCAGCTGCTGGCCCGTAGGGACCAGTGAACGTGGGGGGGGCCTGACTCAACTTTCCTCAGCTGAGCAGGAGACGAAGCAGCTCTAATGGGGAATCTCGGGCTGTGGCCCGCCTGGGGTCTCCCTACCTTAGATTTAGCCAGAGGTGACGACTGTCCGGCTTCTTTTTCTTCTGAGGCATCGGCGAGTGAGAGCAGTGCCTGCTCTCCGCTGGGCCTCGGGAGGTGCCGTGCGGGTGCCGAGCGTCCCGGGACGAGTCCTTTCTCGGCACCGAACTCGATGACGGCGCCGGGGCACTCCGCGTTGACAAGGACGTGTTCAGAGCGGGTCCCCTGAGCCCGGGTCCGAATGGGGGTGTAGAGCGGCCTCCATGAGGATCACTTTTAGCCGCTGCTCCTTTTCTTTAAGAGCTCTAGGGCGGAACTCGTGGCAGATCTTACAGCGACCCTTTTGGTGACCCTCCCCTAGGCACCATAAACACGAGGAGTGAGGATCGCTCTTTGGCGTGCGCTTCAAGCAGACCACGCAGCTTTTAAACCCCAGGGACCGCGGCACACCACGGCTCCGGGGAGTCAGAACAGGGGTGGGGACCCCACAACGACTCTAATCACTAACTCCGAAGATAAACTACGTACAAACAACTGGAGCTGAACGCGCTTGCTAAGCAAGGGCTACAGGAAGTTCCAGCCTACCGTCATTGGTGGTAAGAAGGCACTGAGGGGGTGGCAGGTCGGCAGGGCTCTATGTTAGGTGCCATGAAGGTCTCGACTCCTGGGGGCGCTGACCCAACCGATGGTACTGTGGGAAAAATCTTCCAGCTACTGTGCATGCGTGCACACACAGCTGACTGGAATCGACATGAACAAGCACTCGAAGAAGAAAGAGCTCTTACAGTCAGACTCACTGTGGACCAAGCTATTTAACCCTGGATACCTGTAGGACTGCTCCTGACCGCGGGTCAATGAGCCGTATCTTCCTGTCCCGGCAGGCAGTGGCTAACAGGCTGCCGTCTGTGTTGAATGACATGGAGAGGATCACGTCCTTATGACAGCTGATTGTCTTCACCGGATTTTGAATTACGGGCTCCTTTGTGTCGAGGTTCCAGATCATTATCTGAGGCAAAGAAACAAATTTTCAGCACCTTTCCCTCAAACCAGCCCCTTTGACAGTCAGCAAGTACAACACTGCACGCCAAATGACTGCTCCCCTGAAGAGATGGGAGTGAAGTGCTGGAACAGTGTGCCCCCGTGAACTCGCACCTTCTTTACCCATATAATTATTATGATCACTAACGGTTTGACTATGGCCTGCAAGAGCATGCTTAGTACCTTAGAGCAGTGTGTCAAAGACACGCTCTCCGCCTCAAAGAGCTGACATGCTCATTTCCAGGGGACTTTTTATTGCATGGGGAACTGTTGCAGGGGCAAACAGGGAGAATGAACAGCAGCCATTAACATTAACGAGAACTAAACCTACAACCAGACGCCGGGGAAGTGAACGTCATGCGGGTTGTGACTCCTCGAGGCTTTTCTGCACTGCAATCAGAGGGGTGACATGCCCCCCACTAGTTTTCATGGAACTCGTGCGAGTCCCTAGGGCTGTGATGCTATAGCAGTGCAGGCTGGGCAAGGCCGCCCAGGACTTGGACTTGAGTGGCTGGCCGGTGCGAAGTCCGTGCTGCTGTGGGTAAGCTACCCTGCAGCGCAGCTCCCAACCTGCCGCCTCTGAGTGTGCGGATGCCTGGGCTGTGGTGGCCCTGCCTGCACTCTGCTCCCGAGGCCCCCCCAGTTTCCCTCTGTGGCCCCACCCACACTCCACCCCTCCCTGTCCCTGCTCCACCCTTCCCCCACGGCCCCCACCGCTTGCAGCTTCTTGCTGAGTCCCTCCTCTCCTCCCCCAAGAGACCCCTGCCACTCGCCGTTTGCTGTTTCTCCCCTCTTCCACCCTCCTTAGGGCCCCCCACTTGCCACAGCACTTGCTGACTCCCAACTCCTTCCTCTCCTCCACCCTCCCTCCCCCACCCCCATGGCCTCCTCCCCCGAGCGGCTCGCGGTGCAGTCTCAGGGTGGGTGGAGGGAGTAGGCGAGCAGTGGGCAGGGGGGGCACGGTGGAGGGGGTGGAGGAGAGGAGAGACTTGGCAGCGGCAGGTGGGGGGGGTTGGTGGGTGCGTGGAAGGACTTGGCAGGTGGTGGGGTCTTGGGGGAGGGGAGGAGGGACTCAATGGGCAGCGGATGGAGATGGGGTCTCTGGGGGAAGAGGGGGGACTCAGCGGGCGATAGGGTCTCAGGGGTGGTGGTGGATGGAATCGGCAGGCGGTGGAGGCCTCAGGGGGCAGGGGGTGGAGGAGAAGAGGGACGAGGCAAGCGGCAGGCAGGAGGGCCTTGCGGGAGCGGGCTGAGTGGGAGCAGGGCCTCTGGGAGGAGGGGCCACGGTCCAGGCACCGGGGAGCTTCCGGCGCTCAGGCTGGTCTCCCCAAATGCTGGAACCACGTGTTCGTCGCCCATGGGGGTACGGCTACAGGAGCATCAGTCAACTCTGTGACTGCAGTGTGGACAGACACTTAGAGGAAAGGAGAGGGTCACTGAAAGTCGGGAAAGTTCAAAAGGCTCCTTTTTGGAGCTTGTACCCGTGTCCCTCTGCCCATGGTATCTAATTAAAACCACAGCCAGGGCCTGCAGTCCCACAGGTTACACAAACCACTTCAAAGCCACCTCTACTCAAAGGCATACAAAGCAGCAGCCAGAACACAAAAAGGGAGCTCACTTTCGGGATGCCGGAGGGACTCGGACAGGACTGTGTTCTGTCAATATCAAAACACTTTGCAAAAGTGGGTTGATTTAGCCCAAAGTTTTGGTTTGGAGAAAAAAAGGGGAAAAAAGTTCAGATGACATTGCAATATCCTGTTTTGACATCTTCAGAATGAAACATTTCCATTTTCCTTTCTCAACAATATAATGGTGTTATAATTATATTGTGTTATATTAGAACATAAATAAAAAAGTTGAAATTGACACAAAACGTTCTGATCAATCCGAAAACATTTTTTTCTGAATTTTCTTTTGTGAAATATTTCAAATCTTCCAGGTTTTGTTCTTAACTGAAATTAAAACAAATTTCAAAATCTTGAAATCTGCCATGACTTGGAATTTCCATTCTCTGCCCTACACCAGACCTGCAATGCAGTCTGCCTGCCTCCCAGTCTCTCCATCTCTTGAAAAGCTAGTGTTTATATACTCCCCTTATTTCCCAGCATGCTTTGCCCCAGCTTACAACTATAATATGGCTGTCCTGGGGAAAACATTTCCTTGTCTGCCCTGCTCTTTTGATAGAGAGACTGGCTGGAATGCCCAAGAGCCAGACTACTCCCTCACCCCGAGAGGGCTGGGGTGAGCCCACTCTGCTTGGGGAACCCCAACTTTTGCCCCTGCAACCAGGACCAGCAGCACAGGTATCTGTACAAACCCAGCCTCTACATCCTTTGCCCCAGGTGGGGGTGACCTACACAGTAGGGAAGCGCTGACTCCAGGAGGGCTCTCCTCATACAATGGCCTGTTACAGAAAGCAACTACACGTAGGAGTACAAACAAAACTGATTGTGAAGAAACAAAGCAAGTATGGGCACCCTCTCCCTGCAGATGCACCCTCTGGGTCCCTCCCATGGGCCTGAGCCACACATTCTGCCCCGCAGCAGGTCAGAGAGGAGGGTCTGGTCCCACAGGGCAAAGCTGACTCACCTTATAATCATAACCAGTACTGAAGAGAATGTTGCTGGCCGTAGGATGCCATTCAATGAGTCCCACCCTTCGAGCATGACCCAGAAGCTCCTTCCTCGCACTGGTGATGTTCCTTGTTAGTAAATGTCTGGGGATATCCCAGATTTTCACCTAAACAGCAAATAGCAGCAGAGTCTTTATTCCACAGTGAGCCATCCTATCACTAAGATCCAGGCCAAGCACACTGTCAGTGCAGACAGTTGTGGATTATTCTCAAAGGAGAGAAACTAGGAGCAGCCCATTGACTTGCAGGCACATAGCGATATCTCCACTATAAAATGCACAGACATTAAAATATGCCTTGAAAATATTTTCTTAACAACTTCTCTCTTTTTCTGCCCTTTTAACTATCTGGGGAGAACAAACTAAATTATATGGCTCTTCTATGACCTTTATGCATATTCCAAACCTTTGCTTCCTCTCAGGAGCTAAAGGCAACGAGAGTCAATAGTGTGATCCCAAAGGTGAGACATTTGTCTGGGGAGCATAATTAAACTAAAGCTTAAGACACACAATTCCCAGGAAAGGAAAGCTCTCTGATGCTTGAGTCAAGAATTTTCCAACTATTGTTAGTTTCTCAAACCAAAGCCTCCTATAATTTACTCATGGATGAGCCTTCCATCTCTCTTAGTCATAGATTCCAAGGCCAGAAGGGACCATTCTGATAATCTAATCTGACTACAATACAGGCCAGGGAACTTCCCCAAAATAATTCCTAGAGCAGAAGGAAAAAATCCAATCTTGATTTTAAAATTGGCAGTGATGGAGAAACAGATTTATTAACTAGTGTGACAGGGTCAGGCCAGATGGCTACAGGAGAGTGATAGAAGGCAGATATATTAGCCCCAGGTTAAGTAGGTCCCTTTTCCCTTGGTAAGGTAACAGGGAAGGTTCCAGAACATTCAGGAACTTTCTGGAAACAATTAAGGCAGACAGGTTGATTAGAACACCAATCAAGAAGCTGCTAGAATCAATTAAGGCAGGCTAATCAGGGCACCTGGGCTTAAAAAGCAGCTCACTTCAGTTTGTGGTGCGCATGTGAGGAGCTGGGAGCAAGAGGTGCTAGGAGCTGAGAGTGAGAATGCATACTATTGGAGGACTGAGGAGAACAAGTATTATCAGACATCAGGAGGAAGGTCCTGTGGTGAGAATAAAGAAGGTGTTGGGAGGAGGCCATGGGGAAATAGCCCAGGGAGTTGTAGCTGTCACGCAGCTGTTACAGGAAACACCATAGACAGCTGCAATCCACAGGGCCCTGGGCTGGAACCCGGAGTAGAGGGCGGGCCTGGGTTCCCCCCATCCCTCCAACTCCCTACTTGATCCGGAGGAGTTGAACTGGACTGTGGGTTCCACCAGAGAGAAGATCTCTGGCCTGTTCCCCGATCCACTAGGTAGATCAGCAGAGACTGCGGGGATTGTTCTTCTTCCTTTCCCCATGCTGGCCAGTGATGAGGCTAACTGAGTGAATGGCAGATTCGAGCCACGAAAGTGGCCAAACTGAGGGCTGCTGTGAACCTCTGAGGTGAGAAAATCCGCCAATAAGTGCAGGACCCACCAAGGTAGAGGAGGAACTTTGTCACACTAGAGAAAGATAGATTTTAAATAGGGCTGTCAAACAATTAAAAAAATTAATCACAATTACAAGATTAAAAAATAGTTGTAACTAATAGCAGTTTTAATCGCATTGTTAAAGAATAATAGAATACCATTTATTTAAATATTTTGGGGTGTTTTCTACATTTTCAAAGATATTGATTTCAATTACAACAGAATACAAAGTGTACAGTGCTCACTTTGTATTATTTTTACTACAAATATTTGCACTGTAAAAAAGAAAAAATCATATTTTGCAATTCACCTCATACAAGTACTGCAGTGCCACTTATCGTGAAAGTGCAACTTACAAATGTACATTTTTTTAACATAACTGTACTCAAAAATAAAACAATGTAAAACTTTAGAGCCTACAGGTCCACTCAGTCCTACTTCTTGTTCAGCCAATCACTAAGACAAAGAAGTTTGTTTACATTTATGGGTGATAATGCTGCCTGCTTCTTATTTACAATGTCACCTGAAAGTGAGACCAGGAGTTTGCATGGCACTGTTGTAGTAGGCGTTGCAAAGTATTTATGTGCCAGATATACTAAATATGCATATGCACCTTCATGCTTCGTCCACCATTCCAGAGGACAAGCTTCCATGCTGATGATGACTTCTGCTCAATAACAGTCCAAAGCAGCGCAGACCAATGCACGTACATTTTCATCATCTGAGTCAGATGTCTCCAGCAGAAGGTTAATTTTCTTTTTTGGTGGTTTGGGTTCTGTAGTTTCCACATCACAGTGTTGCTCTGTTAAGACTTCTGACAGCATGTTCCACCCTCATCCTTCTCAGATTTTGAAACGCACTTCAGACTGTTAAATCTTGGTTTGAGTGCTGTAGCTATCTATAGAAATCTCACATTGGTACCGTCTTTGCATTTTGTCAAATCTGCAGTGAAAGTATTCTTAAATCGAACAACATATGCTGGGTTGTCACCTGAGACTGCTATAACACAAAATATATGGCAGAATGCGGGTAAAACCATGGAGCAGGAGACGTACAATTCTCCCCTAAGGAGTTCAGTCACAAATTTAATGAAAACATCATTTTTTTTAACGAGTATCATCAGCTTCCTCCTAGCACGGGGCATTTATTCCTCAGGTGATCAATGGAATTACAGTGGTAGCCCCTTCTGGGTTCTTCGGTTTTCACAAGAGATTTGGGATGGGGATTAGAGGAATAGTTTTGGCTTCCCACCAGGTTTAAGTCCTTCTTTCTGTGGTTTGCTCCCAGTACATGCCTGGGTCTACCCAAAGGCATCAGCTAGAGATGGCATCTCATCCACACTTTTCAGATTTTTGTCCAATAGACACAGTTTCACATCATCTTTATATACGCTAAGGAAATGCTACAGAGCAACAAAGTCAAACATTTCTTCAAAGCTTGAAACCCTTTCCCCCCCTCACCCATTTTCCCATCAGATTTTTCATCATGTTTACATATTCCCCATTACTCATGGGGCACTGCACCTGATATTCTTCATAGTGATATTATTATGATATGGTTATAGCATAACTATGATGCATTTTATGCATGCTAAGTCATGTGAGGGGTCATTGGAAAAGTTATGATTTGCTGAATATGATTATTCTATTTGTATGCATGTATCATTTTTGTATCTGAAGTTATGAGTATTTAGTATGTATCTGTATTTCAAATGTAGTTACACCTGGGTAATGCCCACTAGACAAGATGCTTTCAGTCTAGATAGCTGGGTGGGGAAGGGCCTATTCAGGGCAATGGGCCATTAGGAAAAAATGATAGGCCTTAGGAGAAGCTTAACTCCCACCTGGGGAGCCTTCCTGAAAAGGTTACAGACAGCCTCCAAGTAATGGCTGCTATGACGCTACAAGGTCATGTGATGAGACCACATGTCTCTGGACTCCATCTTGGGATGTCAGTATTTTTCCACAGACTGGTCTGGGAACCAAGCTTTGGGAACAAAGGGTTCCCGCCATATGCAAAAGCTGTATAAGGTCGTGGTGGGGGAGTGACATCATTTGTGGTTCTTCACTTCCCACCCAAGAAGCCACCTGGAAACATCTGAGGAACAAAGACTGAACTGGGGGAAGTGTTAGACCCAGGCTAAAGGGATTTCTAGCCTGCGTATGAAACACCTGGGGATTCCAAGCTGTAAAGCAAGTGCATCTTGCCCCTTAAGAATCTGCAGCCTGCTTGTATTTAACAAGCAGCGGCGAGCAATCTCTCTCCCTCTCTTACTGTCTGCTTCCCCCTTTTTACTTCCTTCCTGTGCCTATTGGTGGACTCTGGCTAATGGCTTAGTTATCCTTTCTGCCCTGCCCCACTCGCAAATTAGGCACAGTTCTTCTTAGTCAGCTCCAATCTGTTTGCCCGATTTGATGACTCAGGCTTTCATACCTAGCACTTTGGCACAACGCCTCAAAGAAATTTGTCACACATTGATGCCATCTACTGGATATCAACAGAAGCAGCAAACTGAGAAACCTGACAGCTGAGAGCAATCTGGCAGATGGCCAATAGAAACCAGATGGTTGCCCTCGCCAATGAGCCCTGAAATCAGGGTATATAAAATTGATGTCACCATATGGGACCCCAGAGTTGACTGAAGCCACAAAGAAACTGTAGACTCCCCAGTGCCATAAACACCCAGACGAGCTGTGTGGAAAGGACTCTTTCCAATCCCAGGGTAAGACGATAAGAAGTGGCGACATTCCATTTCAGAGACTGTATTTCCCCTTTTGTATTTAATATAAATAACTGAAGGTTCTATTGATTAAGTCTACACTCCCTCGTGAGACATCAAGTAACCATATTTTAGATGATGTGAAATGCATGCCCTCCTTTATAAGTCCACACAAACTGGCCTAACAGAGACTTGAACAATAACTTCAAGCAATTGCTTTTGATATACTAAACCTTTCCCTTATGGACCAATCCATTCCAATAACAGGTAACCACATTTTTAAAAGTGTCTTTAAGACAAGTATATCCTTACTGCTTGGAGAAACACTGGGAAGGCGATCAATGTGTTGGGTACTAAAGAACTCATTATCGTAAGTAAACATAATAAGAAAGCTTGGTGATTTCCATTGTTCCTTAGGGTAACCACTGAGCCTCAACTTTCGTCTTTGACAGCGGCTTGTTAGACCAGTGGTTTTCAAACTGCGGGTCGCAACCCCGTACTGGGTTGCGGAATGTAAGGCGCTGGGTCATGGTGGCTCTGGTCAAAAGTCCCGCCGTTAAAAGACCCGTCGGCGGTGCTGCTCGGCTAAGGCAGGCTAGTCCCTCCCTGTTCCGACACCGCGCTGCACCCTGGAAGCGGCCAGCGGCAGGTCTGGCTCCTAGGCGGGGGGGCGGCCACAGGGCTCCACGTGCTGCACCTTCCCCGAGCACTGCCTCTGCACTCCCATTGGGCAGTTCCCAGCTAATGGGAGCTGTGGGGGAAGCAGTGCCTGTAGGAGAGAGCCGCACAGAGCCACTTGCGCACCGCCTAGGAGCCAGACCTGCTGCTGGCCGCTTCCAGGGCG